GTCATTTCCAAGTGTGGTACTGTGCAAATAGAAAAGAAGTCAAAATAGTTTTAATAAACATGTATTTACAGTAGTTGCTACAACTCTTTGAAATACTGTCACGGAATAAATTATTACACTGTATACCCTTACTTTGCACCAAATTTATATCACTGGTTTCGGAAAAAATAACTCTTGTTATTTGCTCTTTATGTCTGGTGCATCAGAAGTTTCATCCAGAAAACCATCAAGAAAGATGTGCATGTTGTATATGCTTTTAAAAATAATTTAATTGTATTTGTTACATCAGCAGTAAACCACCTCTCAGGGAAACTAACAAAGGCTTTTCATCAATACTGTGTTTCATACAAGCTACTGTAGTGGACAACTGTAAATGCTGATTGGTAACAAAAGCATTATGTAGTCTAAGCAACATACAGTACTATACGTAAAAGCAGTAAAATGTTGATCATTGATTGACATGTCACTGTTTCTGTGTATGTTAATGCTTACACTTCAAATCACCTTATTGACAACTTCTACAAAAGCTTCTGAAGTTATTAGAAACAAATTTTTGGTCAAAATGTTAAGAATTCGTTCCCAATTGACTGCATTAAGCTGCCCTTTCAAAGACTGGCTCATGCAGTGTAAACATCTTATCATTTACTAAGTATTGTAAAGTATTTATTATACTTACTCAAGATGCTCTCAAGAATGCCTGTATCATACTCCTCCCTACAAGCTCTGATCACCATCATCGCTGAAAAAACAGCCTAGCAGAAAACAGGCTGTTGCCGTTTTTTGGTATATGCTTTCGTAAGATGACTGTCATAGATGTAAACAGATCTTCCTGGTGACAGTTCAATCATCTACAAGCATCAAAATACAGTATGTTTTCATTTAAATGTCAGGTTGATCGATTTTCCCAGGAGTAATGCTCCTACCACTGACAAGGCTGTTGCCTAAGAAAAATTTTATGGTTCCTGTTTTCAACAGTTAGGAGCCCAAGGCATTGTTTTAAGAGCCCAGCCTAGGAGTCGTTAAACACAATATTAGATGGGAAGGAAAACTTCAGGGTACAGCATTAGGCAGCATCCTAATGGAGGCAGCATGGCTGAGTGGTCAGCGCATCAGACTCGCCATTCATTGCTCCCGGGTTCAAGTTCCACCCTGACCACTACCAGGATTTGTTTCACGGTAGCTCCGAGTTGAAATCCTCAGCCATGCTTGTAAAAAATCGACTGGTTTAATCTCTCCGGCCAGTTGGGATTCTTAACAATGTCGTGTTAAATTGGAATTATTGGTTTCAGTTGTCTGCTCATGCAGCCCCACGTCCTACTTAAGCTATAAAAAACTGCTGAGGTTAAATATAGAGACTTTCCTTTTACTTTATTCAGGACTGATATACATGGAGGGGATTCAATTAACACGTTAAAGAACAATAATTCACAAAAATTGCACTAAATACTCGAATCCAGAAATACTGTGATTTAGCTCGGGCAATTTTCTAGGTATAGCTGACCAAGTGCTAAGTAAAGTGAAGTGAATGATTCTGGCATAAGTGCCCCCCGGGATTGGCTGCTGATAAGTGCATTAATCATAAATTTTTTACACAGGACTAGGGATGCATTAAGTAGATATACAGCCAACTGCACTGGCGTAACCTTTTACATGAAATTTACTGTTAAGAAAGGTAAGGGCAAGTATAAACGGCTAAACAAACTATCAACGAAAAATAATGGCAGAAACTCACCACTCTCGCTGAGAACTACACGAGGGTAGTACTTTTTGTCCAGATACATTGCTTGAGTTGTTTTGTCTTCCTTTCTCTGCAGTTCGGTTTCATCGACGACGATAAATTTAACGTTGTCTTCAAGAAATTGCACCAGAAAGTATCCTACGGGGAAACATATAATTCTTATAAACAAAAACTAAAAATCGAATTAAAGTGATCTCGATTCTTAGAACANAACAAACATATGAAATACATATATATGAACTGCGGTTATGAAACGTATATGTGCACGATCCTTCGCAGTAAAGCACTATTTGAGCAATAGTGAAAATCAGACCTGAAAAAAATTTCAGGCCTGTACGGGATTCGAACCACTGACCTCTGCGATACTAGTGCAGCGCTCTACCAATTGAGCTAACAAGCCAACTGGGAGCAGGCCATCAAATTACTTCACTTACTTCTTTCACTATACTTGAATGATGGCATTGTTTTCCTTCTGTTGTCTTTCTTTGTGTCTCTCACTGTTTCATAAGACAGAGGCAAGATCTAAATACAAAAGGCAAAATACCAACGGAATATGATTGCGAGTCAACGACATCAAGATCACCGAGAGAGGGCTCGATAGGCAAAGTTCGTTCGCGAGCTCGTTTCGCCCGCCAAAACTAAAATCCGTGTCCCATATGTGACCAAAGAAGGAAAAGTATAAGATCCCGTATTCAAGCCCACTGTACCAGATGTCAGCGGAGTGTGACTGGAGGACGGAAGAAAAAAATGGCGGACGATATTGAGGATCCTTATTCGGCAAAAAAGCTAAAGAAGAGTAATTTGCTTGGACCTTACAACCAGTATCTTTCTCAACCGGGATTAAAGATACCTCGAACAACCTTGAGACGTTGGCCGCAAAACCCGACGTCTACTGCTTTGGCCTCGGACGACCGCAGCACGGAGTTAATTGGTAAGGACGCGCGACCGAGCAGCAGCTTTTCCATTGGGACTAGCCGAAATACTGGCAGAAGATGAACAAGAAGGCATCGGAGATTACCTTACGGCTTTCGATTCTGAGGACTGTGAGTGCTGGTAACGAAAAAGCAGATGAGCAAGATAGGGGATCTGCAGACGTGCCCTTATACAGTGGAGCGCCTATCACTGTGGCAGTCAGCATGTTGTTAATTATTACGTTTGCCATTCGACACAGTCGATCTCCTGTTAGGAGAGAGAATGGCAGTAAATGTAATCTTCCTTGTCACAAGCATCACAGCTTTGTGCATCTTAGTGGACTGTAAAAGTGGCCAGAGTATGTATGTTTGTAAACTACCTAACAGGTATGAGAGGGATTAATATGATGACATACTATTTTAACTAGTAACGAGAACTCATTTAACCACAGAAGTTATAAGGGTTCATTTTCTTCTTCATTTCCAAGTGTGGTGCTGTGCAAATAGAAAAGAAGTCAAAATAGTTTTAATAAACATGTATTTACAGTAGTTGCAACAACCCTTTTAAATACTGTCTCGGAATATATGATTACACTGTATACGGTTACTTTACACCAAATTTATATCACTGGTTTCGAAAAGAATAACTCTTGTTATTTGCTCTTTATGTCTGGTGTGTCAGAAGTTTCATCCAGAAAACCATCAAGGAAGATGTGCATGTTGTATATGCTTTTAAAAATAATTTAATTGTATTTGTTACATCAGCTGTAAACCACCTCTATTTGATACCCTGCTGTATAATGGTTAGTCCCTATCATAATTTGGGAAATGCTGGGGTGGAGTACTAAAATTCAGTGTGCATGCTTCCCATTTCATGTGTATAAGTTTTTGTTTATATGTTGCATCAGTTATGAAAAAAACTTAAAAATACAGACATTCTGAAAGAAATATGGTTCCTGTTGCTTCTCAACAATTGTGTTCTACTGATTTCAAATGTTGTTTGGAATAGTTTTTGAACATATATAACATAAATTATATTAATTTCAGTGCTGAAAGGATGTCAAGAGATATTAAGTTTGCAGAATTGCAGGCCAGATTGTCTGTGTTTTTAAAAGTTTTAAAAGTATACTTAAAGTATACTTTATTTTCTAGGCTGACTTTTTTGCAAATTTCAAGGTTTAGAAAAGTATAATTGAAGTATACTTTTTCAATTTAAGTATAAATAAAGTACATTTACCACAATTTGCTCAATATACTTCATTTATACTTTTTTTGTTGAAGTCTAAATTAAGTATACTTCAAATGTACTTCATTTCTTTAAAGTACAAAAAAGTATACTTGAAGTATACTTTTAGTATACTGAAGTTCTGCAAGGGTTAAAGGACTTAAGAACTGCTTCTTTATTTGCAGTCGGTGAGCATGTGTGAAGCATTTCCACAAGAACATTTCTGTTGTCTCCAGCATCCCCGGCAAAAAAGTAATTTCCCAGCATCGCCTTTATTGTGCTGTAGATACGGGCACACTGGTTAATAGTTTGGCAGTATATTATTGTCCTCTCTGCTTCAATTCCTTTCCTTATCACTTCATATCCAATCCCTTCAAAACACTTTGATATATTTGTGTCAGGTGAAATGGCTTCGACGACATATGTTATATTGGGTTTCTCAGGACTCTCATAGATTTCATAAGGTGCTTTCATTTGTAATACATCTATTATCGTCTCTTGGGTGTCCTTTGTCGCAATAGCGGTAACAGCAAGAATGTTAACCGGAGGAGCTAGAGATCTCAACTCTTGCAATCTTCCATAGCATTCACGAAAAGGAGCCACTTTAGAGGCATTTGAAGTCCCCCTTAAATTAAGAATAGTAAAAGATTAGTAAATCATAATCTGCACAGATTTTAGCATGCTTTAAAGAGAGAAGATCTGAGTATATCAGTAGAAGTTATACGACGTATTTATATTAACAATAATAATGAAGGCCAAAAAAGATACAACAAACTCTTCGTACTGAAATCAACCTCAGACAATTCATTTTCTATATACTTACCACTGTTTGATGACAGGAGCTTCGTCAATAGCAACTGCACAGAGCTTCGGCGCATAAGCATCGATCGTTATGCAACATTTGTCGCCACCTCTTCTTCCTTAGAATCGCTTAGGGAGTAGCGTATACAACTTGAAACAAGCCCTTCTCCACGTCTGAAATTTCTTTATCGGTCTCAAGATGACTGACGGGTTATACCGAGTTTCGCCCATAACGAGTTTCGCCCACATCGTTTCGCCCAGAACGAGAATGGTTTTGCCCAGAAGTAAAAGTGATTAAATCTAGTCTGGTAATTTGGTTATAAATTCGCCACCGTAACGCTCGAAACGTCAGCTTTTGTAATCGTTACGGTGGCCAATTTACAATTTCAACTTAGTTAATATAACCAAATTACCTTGTTACCCCCACCGACGCAGCACCACTGTTTCTTTAGAAACTTTCACCCTTATTCATAAATCTAGTCAGGACTAATGCATGAGTGCGCATGGGTGGAATGGCTTAAGTTTTCTGATTCCGACAAAGCATGCGGTATGCAAGTTCCAACTAAAAAGAAAGTACTATCTTGCAAAAATATCTCACCCTTACACTAGTCCATAGAATTTGAAAACAATTGTGCGTGGAACAAGGGAAATGGTTTCGCCCAGAAGTAGGCTAACAGTGTAACTCGAAAAAGGTTACCTAAACATGCGTATGCCCAGAACGAACTTTGTGAAATGCCGTGAATAACGTGACTTTTCCTGACACGATAAAAATGTTGAAGCAAACAAGTTGCTTCTTTCACTGAGAATCAAACGGGGATTGGAGAAGTAATTCGAGCACGAAATACAAGAGCAGTTTTTTATCGGCAGCACTTACTCTCACGAGAAGGTCGAGTTTGTTTTGTGTTGAAGCAAATTAAACGCTGTTAAAAGCGTTAATTTTTCTGACTCCGGCTAAGCGTGCGGTATGAAAGTTCTAACTAAAAAGAAACTACCGTCTTCCAGAAATATCTCACCCTTTCACTTGTCGATAGAATTTGAAAACAATTGCGCGGAGCATAGAAAATAGTTTCGCTCAGAAGTAGGCCTACAGTGTAACTCGAAAAACGTTAACCCAAACGTGCGTAAACCCAGAACGAACGTTGTATAATGCCTTGAATAACGTGACTTTTCCTGACGCCATAAAAATGCTGAGGCGAACAAGTTGTCTTTTTCACTGAGAATCAAGCGAGGACTGGAAGAGGAATTGAAGCACGAAATACAAAAGAGCCGTTTAAAAATCTTTATCGAAAGAGTATGACTAGGATTTTGGTTTTATCTGCAGCACTTACTCTCTCGAGGAGGTCGCCTTTGCTTCGTGTTGAAGCAAATTGAACGTTGTTGAAAGCGTTAATTTTTCTGACTCCGGCAAAGCGTTTGGTATGAAAGCTCTAAGAACCTTCAAAGAACCTTCCAAGTGTCAAAGAACCTTCTAGTTCCCAAACTGGAAGGTTCTTTGACACGTTAATAAAGTTTCTATCTATCTATCTTATTAAAAGAAAGTTTCTGTCTTGCGAAAATCTCACCATTGCACTTGAAAAGAAAACTGAAGTTTACTCGGAAAGGTGCGAAGTTGGCACAATTTATTGTTTCCATTGTTTCCAAAGTGAAGTCAAATGTAATTTAAAGACGAATAGCAATGCATAATTACAATGTGTTCCAACAATCAAATAAGTTTGAGTCTATTTTAGTGGATAGAAAGTTTGGTCTGGTTTGGTTGTATTCCCCGATAATCGAGGCAAAGTAAGCTTACCTTCTTTTCTTGAATAGAAGCCTCCCTTGATTAGAAGCCTCCTTTGAATAGAAGCTGCAGAAATTTCGTGAAAAGAAAAAATAGAAGCCGCCCTTGAATAGGTGGTTTGCATAAACAATAGATATCTCGTATATGTGCACGATCTTTCGCAGTAAAGCACTATTTAAACAATAGTGAAAATCAGACCTGAAAAAAATTCAGGCCTGTACGGAATTCGAACCACTGACCTCTGCGATACTAGTGCAGCGCTCTACCAATTGAGCTAACAAGCCAACTGGGAGCAGGCCATCAAATTAATTCGACATAAACCCGTAGATGATAAATCAAACAACAAACATATGAGTCACGAGTCCAGTTCTTGATTCTTTGACGCTCTCTATGGAATTTCTCGCGAAGCAAAGCATCAGTGGTCTTTCTGACTTTTTTCCATAGAGTTTTCTTTTTCTTAATTGCTTTGGCTAGATCTTTGGAAATCCAAGGTGGAAAATTAGGATTACGACATTTCACTTTAGGAATAGAATCATTGATGGTTGAAATAACAAGATCGCACCAAAAAGTCCCAGTGCGTGTCCAGTTCCTCCTGGGACTTGATATTGTTTACGCCGCAGCCAAGAGGCAACAATGCGAGATAATTCAAAAATTCAAAGTTTGCTTTCGAAAAATCGAAGCGTAATCTTTGATCAAAATTCCTGAGTCTAACAGGAGCGGCGATGTCAAATATAACCGGGTAGTGGTCGGAAGGCAGGCCAACATCTTGAAGGTGAAAGCCAGAGTCGATGCTTGACAGAAGCTCTGGAGAATTGGTAAACACTAAATCCAATAAGTTGGCTTTACGAGTGGGCTGATCGACGAATTGAAAAAAGTTATAGTCCAGGAGGAGGTTAGCGAGAGCTTGTTCATTTCCACTAAATGAAGTAGTGAATGAAACCAGAGCCTTCAATCCAATGTATATCAGGGTAATTGAAATCACCAACAATAAATGCTCCAGCATACAGTGGGAGGTCTACGCTTGACAATAATGAGTAAAACTTGGGAATAAATTCGGTGGAGTTTGGGGGTCGGTAACAGTTTATGAATAAAAGATTTTTGTTGCGATTTATTTGCACAGAAACCAAAATAACTTCTAATTCAGAAGGGAGGTAAACTTCGTTTGAGGGCAAGTAATTAATGGCAGTCTCCTTATAGACTCCCTGTTACCCATTCTCCCCGTGTACCCTGTGTACCC